TTAAATATGGTTCCAGTATACAGGAGATTACATAGTTAAAGTAAAAACTATATAAATGGATATATAAAGTACTTTGTGAATCCCAGTGAGAAATTGCAGCATTAAAGCAGTTCAGTCAGTAAGATTTTTTTATTACATTTTTTATTCTGCCACATAACGTTCATTGAGGTTGGAAGCTTCTTCTGCAGCATAAAAACTCGCAAACAAAACCATACAAAACACAGTTGTACTAAAAAACTGAATAGCTAACAATTATCTAAGGAGTCATTTACTCTTGAATTTAGCCAGAAATACCTGATTTCCTTTGTTTAAAGTCACAAATAAAACACTTGAGGGAAGTAGGTAAGAGACAAAATAAAATAAAAGACAGAATAAAAGACAACTTGCCAATAAAGACTGAACTTCATGTAAATGTAAATGGAATATCCTCCTGATGGATCATGAAAACAATCTGCACATCTAAAAGTATAATAAAATACAGACTCACAAATAGCAAGTACATTAAATCTACTTAATCACAATGAAAGTACTTCTCATTAGATATTCCACCCTCTTCTAAAGCAGCAGTCTTCTTCCATATTGGAGTTTGATCTTGTGTTTGGGATCAGTGTCCACAGTGGTGAGGCTTATTGTTCTTTACACTGATTAGAACAGACATGCTGCTTTTGTTTTTTTATATACCTTTCTATTAAATAATGTAACATATGAAAATGGGACCTTTAACGTAACATTTTGTAGTGCACTCACTGCAACCACACACTTTTGTAACTCTTAATGAGACTTCCTCAGCTGGTAGTTTGGTTCACTCTTCTTGAGCAAAGCACTCCAGTTATCTCTCATTAGATGTTTTATTTTTTTAACTCTTTTCATACTGGATTTATCTCCAGACGCGTAGCTGCCACTTCAGAACGCTCCTGTGGTTTTTTCTAATCTGTTCATAGTACTTTTGGATGTATGTTTGGGATTATTATCCCATTAGACGAGACATGACCTGTGACTGTGACAGAGCTCTGAATGCCTTGATGATAATCTTATTTCTTTGTGCCAAAGCACCCTGTACCAGACACAGCAAAGCGACCCCACAACATAACATCCACTGGGGATGTTTTCTTCTTTCAAAGCTTCTTTTTTTTCTTAGAGCTGATGAGACTTACAAAAAAGCCAGAGACTCTTAAAAGTTGTGATGCTTAAATGGAAAGTCTGTTGGGTAGTTTACCCTTCTGATTGTACATTGTCTTACATCCCGCCCCTGCAATGAATATACGGACCACCTCACAGTTGGTTTTATTTGATGAATGATTACCGAAAGGGGACGGATTCTCTTCACCATGGGATGTAATGAACTGTGGAAAACAGGGCTTCACTTCCTTAAATCACATACTGAGAGACACGGTGCTGTAGGCAGTGCTGGAAAACTGACCTCGTTTTTGTGTATGTGTGTTTGTGTTCACATGCTCTAAGTAGGAAAAGTATTTGGAAATGTATCCTGACAGGCTCCTAATCAGAGGCCAGTGTGGAGAGTTTCCACTGTCCAGGGGAAGTGTGTGTGCTACTGGCAGAAATACTGTATTGTAGCGTACTGGATGTGGCCTTTCTTCATTCACGACAGAACAACTCGGCAGAGGAGCATTAGAGGCAGTGTTTTGTTTTGGTTACAGTTTGGGCACAAGTTTAGCTGGTGATGTCACACAACTTTCATTAGGCTACGTAGTATAAGAAGGAAGGTTTGTGATTAATTTTGAGCCTGAGTTGTTAATCTAGTGGCCCTCATCAGTGCATTAGTAGATATTGACCTCTAGGGGTCTCTGTTTGCTTTGCTATGGCTTCTTCAGGCTTAAGTCGGCAGTGAGGGAGGAGGAGGTAGGATGATGCAGTTTGTAATGTAGATGGGTGAGTCACCTTCTGAATGGGGTGGAACAATCAATGTAAAGCCTCTTGAGATGAGAGAGAAGTTTCCCTCATCGAGGCCAGATTGCTCTGTTTGGCCCTGCTCCTCTGAGAGCTCTTTGCTATGACTCTTCCTGTAGGTGTGAAATAAAACAAATATAATTTTTTTAATTAAGTGCCGCTCATTTGATGGGCAAATGGTGATTTTTAATTAAGTGGTGCCATTGTGATGATAAGAGGATGTCTCCTGAGGACTGAATTCAAATTATCCTCAATGTACAACACGTCAGTCTTATAGTGAGATGATAAAGGCAGTTGAATTGTTTGACTGTGGAAACAGAAATGACCTGCTGCCATGTAAATAAGATAAATAACATGAGGCTATTTAATTTGTTTAATAAAAGAACAAAGTATAGACCTGTCATGTAGGAAAGGTAACCTTAAATGACTTCTGTTGTGATTTGGTGATATATAGAAAGTAAATAAAATTTACTTGACTTTCGGGGGGGCGTCCATGTCCTGTTCCATTGTCACTGGGTTTATCAGACAATGTGGAAACTCTTAGTTAATGCACCTTAAACTATTAAATACACAATCCTGAGAGCTAAATATGTTCTGGTGATATAAAATATATGTTTTAGTTTTAGATTTCAGGTAAACATTCTGTTAACTGATCTATGCATTTCTTTCAGTATGTGACTGAGAACCCGCTACAGTGAACTGATGACTCTCACCGGTCAGTACATTAAATTCATCATGGATACATTACGCCGCCTAGAGGATGATGAGGTAATTACACACTTTCCTCACAGATTTACCTAAAGCCGCACTAACACAGTCTGACCGTCTCCCAAAATATATGCCTTACTATATAGTATGTGGTAAAAATGGGGTCCAACCACCTCTTTATGTAGAAAACAAGTAAGTTTTACTAAGGTCCTCTAAATAATGTCATGTTTTCTACATTCTTTTCATTAGAGTGAAGAGAAAGTAGAAAATATGAGAACACATTATTTAGAGAACTCTATCTTAGTAAATTAGTCATGTAAATATGAAATAAATCACTTAAATTACTTTGGTGAAGTATGTAGGTATAAAGTATTTGTCATTCTTAAATAGTTAAGTTCTGTATGTGCATATATATTTTTTCCTCGGGTATATACAGTATACTACATAAGTAAAGTATTAACACTTGGATCACTTCTTTCAGTCCTTGGTATTTCTCAAAACGTCTTCCGTTCCTTCTTCCTGGTGGGCTTGTTATCCAATCTCCGACTGTGGGGGTGATATCTCCTCTCCGCGTGTCGTCCTGACTCCCCCAGAGGCCACAGACGGCTGTAAAATACTGCATGTACTGACCGTTTCTAGTGTTTAACTTCAAAATACAGTGACACCACTTTTAATGTTGGTAAACAAATTTTTACTGATACAATTAAGAATATTGATACAGCAATGTATAGCTACCATAATGCACAGACCTGTGGAGTTATGAATTCTAATGGGCACTAGATGGAATATAATAAATAGTTGAACACAACATCTGTACAGAAACATTGCCCCGTAATCCATAGAAATGTACATATACCAGTACAACATTTATAATTCCATAAATTTACGAATGACAAATCCTCCAAAATAAAATTGATATTCTCCATTGTTTCTTTAGTTCTATTTTTTTAAATAAACACCAGCGACTACTGAATTTATAAGGAATTATGTACAGGTTCTAAACAAGAAACTCCATAAAAGGCACAATTGTCTATACAACATGTACAAAAAAAAGAAATTGTCTGGAGCTGACAAAAAAAGTAAAAATAAAATGATTGGTCATCATTATAATCATCATCATGTGATTGCACATACAATATGAATGTCAGCATCTGTGCTTTGAAAGGTGATTTGCAAGGAAACAAACCCCTGAAAAGTGTTTTTAGTCTCGCAACGTGACAAGAATTCCAAAAAGATAACAAGAAGCGCTTTCCACTTGGGGTTTTCAGGTGGCAATGACCAGCCTGTCTTCATCATCACTGGATAATTCATTATAGTCATCAATTACCTTGTGCCAGCTGGTCACTGGTGGTGGTCTTGGAGGAGCAACATCACTAGCTCCCTCAGCTGGTGGCTCCTTAGCACCGTCTGCTCGGCTCTCAGGAGCTGGTGACGGATGTTGTTGTGGGGATTTATCCCTTTCCATCCCAACAGTCTGTGTGGGTTCTTTGCCACTGCTGCCTGAGGTCAGTTCTGAAGAGCTGCTGATCTTCACAGGGGCGGGTGGCGAAGCTGGCATACAGCCTCGCGAAGAACCAAGCCAGTGTTCATTATGAGATGGCTGTGCTCCTGGAGCTTCAGGGCTGCCCTGCCTCTCACTTGATCCAGGGAGAGGACTAAGTGCGGCGAGAGGGCTGAGAGAAGGAATAATGGCAGGCAGAGCAATGTTAACTATCTGTAAACCTGGGACATGTGTCTGGGGCCCGGTGCTGCTTTGGGAGGTGGGGTTGGCAGCCAAAACCTGCAGCCCGAGGGTGGCATTGAGGGTGAGCCCTTGCTGGGGCAGCAGCTGGGTGGATGCCAGGCCTGTGTTGGTCAGCCCCATGAGATTAATTGTCTCTAGACCCACCGGCTGTATCGTTTGACCCTGCAGGCCAGTGACCTGCCCGAGGGGGAAGCACGGTACAACACTACTGATTGGTTCCTGCACCAGAAGTGGCTGAGTCTGCAAGCCCTCCGGTTGTGGTGGAGTGTTGGGAGTTGGTAACGGGCTTGTGTTTCTGTGAATGACACTTACTGCTGGGATGGTGAGCTGGACAGGGCCAGCTTGGACTGGCACAAAAGTGGAGTAAGCTGCCAGGCCAGCAGGTACTAGCTGGATCCCACCAACAGGGACCATGCTGTAAGAAGAGCGAGAGGGCTGCTGGGAATGCAGGGGCAGGTGACTAAACAGATGGGTCTGGTTCTCTGTTCCTGGTGTTTGGGATAGACTCTGTAAAGGAAAGTGTGTTGGACCTTGAGAAACATAGGAGGAAGTCTGAGTGCTGCGGTCCACTGGTATGCCTGATTCACTGGTCCCCAATGCAGGAGTGATGCAGGAGGTGTCCTGTGAAAAGAGACAAATTGAATATTTGGTCTTATTTCATGACTTAAATGTGACAGACCTAGAAGATTTAAGATGCAGTGGCATTTGGATCAGTCCACCAAGCCTAATAAGACTATTCACCTTGTTTCAGAGCATTCACAGGAGCTTTGTGGAAGTGCCTCGCATGCAGGCTTCAAAGTATGGGTATGGATAGGAAAGAAGGGAAGCAGGCATGGAGGGGTGGAGAGAGACACAATGAGAACACATGGGCCTCACCTGGCCTAGCTTGGCGCTCTTGTCTGGCACTGGGGGACTAGGGGGCACATCAAAGTCAGGGTAGTCAATGGACATCTGCCTGCATGGTGACACTGGGCTCATCATGTGCACTGACTCTGTGTCTGAGATACTGGGCTCTGATGTGGTGGCAACAGGTGGAGGAGAGTTAGGGAGGGGCATTTGGCTGCAGCAAGATCCAGAGATAGACATCTGCTTGCTCAGGGACACGGGACTCATCATGGGGACAGATTCTGAATCTGATGTGTGAGATTCAGGAGCTGGAGGCTGGGTTAAAGGGAGGGAGACTGAGCTGATTGACATCTGGGCTAAGAGGGTGCTAGGAGGGATTTCAGCCTCTTTTGAAGGGATATGTTGTGGGCTGGCAGAGACAGAAGGGCTGGTAGATAGGCCAGACTCTGCCTGGCTGTCCTCTTCTTCCTCTTCGTTGTCATCATTCTCCTCATCATTGGGGCCATCAGAGTCATCACCATCTGAATCTTGACGGTCAGCACTGCTCACCTGACTGCGGTCTCCTGTAGATGAGAGAATAAGTTATAAGGAAGTCTATTCTTGGTTTACTGCAGAACATGAGTCAGTTAGTATGAAAAAAAAGAAAGGCTCCTTGGTTGCATGTAACCACTTCATTCATTAAAGCTTTTCCATTATCATCCACCACTACGTATACAGTTTGGTGATTATTTATGCTGCTGCAGTAGCAGAGTTTCACAACCTAGACCACCAAACAGCCCTGAGCTCCAGCACAGGCAGAGGAGAAAAAGAAAATACACTCTTAGTAATTGGGACCACAGAATGCTTTCAGTCTGCTTCTCTTTTCTCTAAATTTAGACACAGCAATTTCCTCTTTCTGAATGCTGTGCATGTCGCCCACATGAGCCTTGAGTTAACAGAGGAAGAAGCTGCATTTAGAATTTCCAATTAGACCATGGCAAAGCTATTGATCAACACAGCAAAAGAGCACTATTACATATGTAACGATATACCGTAAACAAACCCCTGAGGTGACAGAGAAATAGTTCATTCTGTACGATAAGGCACGGCTTCGAACCACAGTTATATTTCTGTATTTCCCCTCTAGGTAAAGGCTGAGCAGTGAAGCACTGTACCAGAGTCGTCAGCATCCTGATCCTCAATGAGACCCTCAGGCACCCCCATCTCCATGCATTTCTTACTGTGGGCCTTAGACTTCATGTGCTTGGTCAGATTTCCTGCAAGAACACAGGCAACAAGGTCTTAAGGGTGGGTAGTGGTTGAACAATAGCACAGAAGGGGTTTATGTAAGAGAATGCGGCCTTTGAGGGAGCTCTACGTAAAGGGTGAGTAACTGATAAGGACATTTTTAAATGAACGTGGGTTGCTCTGACACCAAGTACTGTTCTGCAGTGTCGCGTGGGTAGGCAACTTTGATAAAGAATGGTGAATCATACTGTCTTGGTTTAAGAGTCGGTGAAACAAATCTTTAATTTCTAAAAGAACAGAGCGAACTGTAGCAGTTCAAGACTGTTACACATATTTAGTCTCAAATGTAAATGTAATAAAATACTACAGTGTGATCAGATCACTAAATATAATTTTATAAAATATAATACAATATTCGACTATTAACTTTTTTTTGAATATTAAACATTCGTGGGTTGCTCTGACACCAAGTACTGTTCTGCAGTGTCGCGTGGGTAGGCAACTTTGATAAAGAATGGTGAATCATACTGTCTTGGTTTAAGAGTCGGTGAAACAAATCTTTAATTTCTAAAAGAACAGAGCGAACTGTAGCAGTTCAAGACTGTTACACATATTTAGTCTCAAATGTAAATGTAATAAAATACTACAGTGTGATCAGATCACTAAATATAATTTTATAAAATATAATACAATATTCGACTATTAACTTTTTTTTGAATATTAAACATTTCAAATTTTTATTTATTTGTGTTTGTATGAGCAGTAAGTGGGAAATTATACACGTCTCTTGTCTGATGGAAAATTATTGCATTGGTAAATGCATTCTGTCATGGCATATACACACAAAGGAGGAGTGGCTGCAGAGTTCAAGTCTTAAAGGATGTTTAATTACTAATCTCTAACCTTTTGTCTTGAAAGAGAAGTTGCAGTGGACACAGTGGTATGGCCGGACATCAGAGTGGGTGCGGATGTGTTTGCGCAGCATGCTGGGCTTCTTACAGCGGATCCCGCATTCCTCACAGATGTATTTACCACGTCCACGCCCACGTACGTAAACATACTCCTCATTAGATTTGTACCTGTCGGGTTTTAATGGAATCAGAGACATAAGATGGGATGATGATTATAAAACCAAACAAATTATAATTAACCGATTTGAATCCTACCCGCCATCAAAAATTTTGACCCGTCTTGGTTCTGTTTTAGATGCCAAGTCCTTGTCCGAGTCATTGCTGGCCTGGGTTTCAGGTTGCAGATTAGTTCTGGTTTCAGCTGACACAGACTTTGGGGTTACTGGCACCTGCACAAATCAAAGAATTTATGTATTTACAAATTTAATTCAAGAAACAAGACACCAATAAAAAAGAAATATTAAGATTTTTCAGAGTTACTTCTTACCCTTGGCATGACATCTTTCAGCTTGCCCGAGTAAGACAAGATATCAGATTTTCCGCTGGTTCTTATGGCTGAGGTGTAGTGTATTTTCTTGGAGCTCTGTTTGGAGTCGAACAGAGACATGACCACCTTAGTGGGCAACCCAAGTGGGTTAGGGTTGTTGGGGCTGACAACTGGCCAGGCAGCATATGCTGAAGTCTTCAGGCCAGTCTGTGGAACATGAAGAGGTTTCCTCTTCATCAAGAAACACCATGTGAAAGTGGTGGCAGTCTTCAGGCTGGGGAAAGACAGACGGTGACTGTCTTTTGTGTTAACGACAGACACAGATGTGGTCAGTTTCATCTGTCCGCCATGGAAGCTGGAAGGCCTAATAGGAGATTTAGCAGGAGTCCACCTCAGTTCCTCGGCTTTCTCTTGGGGCCTCAGAGTATTGCTAGCTGGCATTGAGGTACTCTGATTACCAGGTGTGGTACTGAGTGCAGGACCTGTCTCTTCATGAATAACAGTGATTGTGTCTTTTTCCAGCCCTGCACTGTCAGGTGACATGGGTTTTATGTCATCAGTAGCCTCCGAGTCCTTCTCCCCATCTGCTTTAACCTGGGGCAGAGGTGGAGCCTCTGTTTCAATGGGACTGTCCACAGGTTCAGTTGTGCAAACTTGCCTGACAAGTGTTAGCTTCCGCTGTCGGGTCACCTCTGACATCTTGGAATTAAGGTAATTGACTGATCTGCTGTCAGTTAAACAGGCCACACCATGCTCATCCTTGGCTCGTTTCTGGTGCTTTTCCATGTAGATGTCCAGGCTGTTGGCAGGTGACAGCATTCGTTTACTTGAGGCAGTGGGTTCCTGCTGTGGGCATAGAGTTACCGATGCCGGTTTCTGTGTGCAGTGTGAAGACCCAAGAGAAGTTGCATGTTCCCCTGTATATTTATCCTTCTTTGCAGCTGGTACAGCATGAGTATCACTGTCTACACTGTGAGTGGATGAGAGACTATTTTTACTGGGCACAGAGAGAGGAGGGTGGAGCTGCTCATGCGTTATCAGGATCTGTGGCAATGGAATAGCACCTGCTTGGGTCTGATCAAGTTGTTCCTTTTGTTGTTCCCCTGACAAAATGACAGTCTGTGTCTTAATTTCAGAAGTTTGTTGATTCGTTTGAGCAACATATACATTTTGGATTATATCTGATGATTTTGAAATGCTCAAAAGCGGACTGGCAATAGGTATTGTTAAAACTGGCAAGGCTATCTGACTTCCCTGTGTGTTGGAGAATGAAAATGTTTGGCTTGGTCTCAGAGCGGGACACTGCAGTTGGTATTTGGGCACAAAACATTTTTCCACCGAGTCATTTTCACGACAAACTAAGATCTGGTTCAGTGGTTGTATTTTTTGGCATATTTGAACCCTTGATATTTGATGCCAAGGGTGTGGAAGGCCATGGACCTGAGGCTGCTGAGTTGTGCTACCCAAATGAATGCTCTGCACCATTTGCTCATTCTTTTGCAAGGGTGTTTCTCCACTATGCGGAACAAAAGGCTGAGTCATAGTCCCTCCATTGGCAATGTGAATCTGCTGGCACCTATTCTGAGTTACAGAGCTAACATTTGTTATGGGAGGTTTATCTACAGCTTTCCGAACAGGCTGCTGACTCTCTGGGCCTATCTTTAAAGACATTTGGCGAACTAATGGCCCCCGCCTTCTTTCAATTAGTGGCACTTGGGCAACCTGTCCACTTTTTGGCTGGCCAACAGGTGATAGGGATCTGCTTGGGGATACATTGCCACAGTCAAAGGACTTGCTCCGGTAATCACATGAAATCTCCACAGAAGGTTGAGTACAAGTGATCTGTTCAGATGCAGCACGTCTCATCATTCCAGGCACACCGAGGGTGTTGAAGGCTGTTGGCAAACCTTGAGGCTCTGTAATTTTGCTGACACATTCCCCTCTGGAAGGACTGTCTGACCTAGATGGCTCATCTCTGTCAAAAGAGGCTGAGATGCTGGAACAACGAGAAAGGCTACTGTCTCTACTGAGGCTCCGTGAGAGGCTGGACTCAAAACTGGACTCACCTGAGGAGTGGTCCATTTGAGCAAGACGAATTCTTTTCTTTTTAGGCGGAAGTTTCTCTGCTGGTAACTTTGACAAACTCTCACTTCTCTGAGGCCAGTTGAACTGATCTGTGGGCTTATCTGCTGGTTCAGTAGTCTGCGTTTCATGTTCCCTGTCAGGCTCCTCGGTGACCAGAATTTCAGGAACTTGGATGTTGTTTTGGCGAACCAGACGAGACTGATGAACAGGAGTAGAACTTTCCCCAATTGCCAGTACTGTGCCACCACTACATTGTTCCTTCCTTTGATTTCCATAGTCAGCACTCTTGGGTTTGGACATTTTTTCATGGTAGCTGTCAGCTGAAACACTTGCTGTTAGATCTGTTTTGGCCTTATTCAGGGGATCTTTCTCTATGCTGTCAACAGGAGAGGCCCTGTCAATAGTTTCTGTCTCAAATGAATTGGGCCTGCTGAGAGAATTGGTGTGTCTAATGACTGAAGTACCACTGCCTTGCCTTTGTATGTCTCCTTTAGTAGAGGTGCTGATCTGGGTCTCTCGTATTGGTGACAGTCTGGAATCTGAAGTATTCATACCTCTTGCTATGAGTTGAATCTGAGGTAGCTTTGACTGGTTGTTTTTTGGCTGTATGTCTACTATTACAGCATGCTGAGAAAAAGTCCGACTTGCCAGAGCTGTTGGTAGCTCAAAACTAACCGAACAAGGTGGAATGGTATCAGTTGGGGATTGATCATCCTCATCTCCAACACTCTTCATTTTCCTTCTCTTCCTAATTGATGTCTGCTGATCAAGTATTCCTGAGCCACAAGATGGTCTAGGAACTACAGTCTGCTGTACATTAACATAAAAAACATCTTGATCACTTTCCTTTACAGCAATTGGTTTGTTTTTTGGACCATGAAGCTCAGAGCAATAGAATTTTTTGTGTGTTTCAAAGTTCTCTAACTTTCTGTACCGATTACGACAGGTTTCACACTCATACATTGTACCTTTATTCTGCAGAGGCTTCCTGTTTCTGTCCTGGCTCTGCTCAAAAGATCTGCTTCTTTGCATCAGCTCTGTGGAACAGCTTGGACCATGATAGCCCTCATCCATGGAGCGAACAGTAGGGAGGCCATGCCCCTCACTTGTGGAAAAGTGATCCACTGCTGCTTGTCTGACTAAGGTACGAGAATGTATTGCCGGATTTGGGGTTGATGGGGCAGACGAAAATACATCATCATTCAACAAACTAATTTTATCATCAAATGAGTGACAAATTCGCAGAGGGTGGGGGATGGGGGCAACATTAAGGGGAAGAGCAGAATGCCCTGGTGTAGTGGGCATAGAGTTACTCCTTGTAATTGGCAAACAGTCCATTGGTGGGTATTGAGAAGGTACAGAGAGAAGAAATACTGGCTTTGATTTATCTGTGGGAGTGAAGGGGGACTTGGGGATGTCTGAGCTAGAACTTGACCTCCTTCCCATTGGTTTAAGATCAAACTGAAAAGAGTCTTTAAATATGTATGATTTAGGGGAGTCTATGCTTCCTCTCCTCGAGAGTGATGTCCTCCTTGGCTTTACACTGTCCAGCTGCTTGTTGTCAACTACCGCTTCATTATCAGATATCAACTTGGAAATCCGTTCCTCCAGAGAGAGTGCTTTGGCCTCTAATGGTGGACGCATTTGTCCTTCTGTGGCCTGTGGCTTTTGCTCAGCTGCTACATGCATTACTGTGGCAACCATAGGAGGGACATTGGGAAGAGGATTCTTGGCACTGTCAATGTCTACTGGTGGCATTATCTTTACAAAAGGACTGGGTGGACTCATGGCCTGGTCAGCACTCTCAGACCGTGAGAAGTAGCCAGAATCGGTACTTCCCAAACTACGGGGACTGAGTAGACACTTAACCTGCTGCTGTTGAGAAAAGTCTGTTGCTTGCTGCCTCTGAAGCTGAGCATGTCCACCTAACAGTGGAGACTTGCACTGTTGGTCTTCATCTTCACTCACAGTATCTAGTGAGGGATTTGTACCATCCACCTCTTTCAGAGATGACAGGACTGTGATGTTTGATCTCAGATTGGCAGTCTGGAAGTCCCGTTGCCGCTGTGCAGCAGCTTGCTCGGGTGCTGCACCTGTAACTCTCGGACTGTCTGCCCTCAGAGGGGAGACATTCACTGGGTATACAACAACTTTTGGAAGTGCAGCTGTTACTTTGGGATCGTGGCTCCTCTGGCAAGGTGCTGGCTTGACTGAGTCAAACACAGCTGATGAGTCCACTTCCCCATGGCTTCCTTGGGTTACAGCTGCACTCTGTAAACTACTTTCAGACAAAGCTGCCACACTGCTCTGTGATGAGTCAGGGTCCAAGTCTGCAGTGCTGCCTTCCTCATCACTGTCTCCACTTTCCTCTGCCTCTGAATGTGTCCCGAGAGCTTTGTCAGATTCTTGAGACAGCGAGCCACCTCCAGATTCAGAACGTCCAATGAGACCCAGTTTTATGGCATGAGCATGTGATTTTTTGTGCTTGTACAAGTTGCTCTTGGTTTTGAATGAGAAGCCACAAGTAACACAGGGGTATGGTCTTTCTCCTGTGTGAGACCTGATGTGTTTGAGGAGGACACTGGGTTTTGCACATGCCCGATTGCAGTATTCGCAAACATACTTTCCTGGCTTCTTGGGCTTTTGGTCCTTGGAAATCTGTTCAGCACCAAAGTTCATTACAGTGGTCATCTGAACTTGGTTGCTGCCAGGTGTAACTGGGACCTGAATGGTGCTGGGAACACTTGCGGAGAGGGACTGGCATGTGTGCACAACTGGTGGTTGGCTTTGTGGCAAAGCATTGGAGCCTGAGGGAGCAGGTGCATGAGTTATAGTGGATGGTCCAGTATTCAAGCTCATATGCAAGCTAGGCTTTCCTGGATTTGAAGCAACAGGCATAAAACATGGTGTAGCAAGTGGGGAGGGCTGCATAGGGGTACCCTGTGTTGATGTCTGCACATTTCCCTGTAGTGGTGCAGCAATGCCAATAAAGTTGCCTTGTTTGTCAATGTAATAAGTTTGCATCTGGGAATGCTGGGTCTGGAGACCAACATTGACAGGTGGCACTGTTGGTAATTCATCACTGGACTGAACATGGAGGGTGGAAGCTGGTTTTCCAAGGGCTGTGACCTGCAAAGAGTTTTTTGTCTCAGCCAGTGTACTAAAGTCAGGCTCCATGGCCTTAAGTAGGACGTCAAGTGGAGCACTGCTGTGGTAAGGATCTCCCTCAGTGCCGGGGTCTTGGCTCTTGCTGTCGCTGGGCTGAGACACTTTAGCAGTTATCAAAGAGCCCTCCTCACCATCGATGGGCTCAAGTGATGGCGGCCTAGAAGATGTTTCTTCGTGCTTCAGCCTTTCAGCATCAGCAGAAGAGGACCCCTTATTAGGGGATGCTGCAGCTGGTTGGGCATATTGTGGGTCTCTTGTCCCACTGGGTGATGTTGGACGATTGTGGGAAGGACTGCTGGAAGAGGACGAGCAAGATGGTGCAGTCTCCTTGGGTGATGCTCCGTGGGGGACAGTTTCGGATGTTTTCAACTGGAGCGGCTTTTTCACTGGAGATTTAGGAATTTTCTTTAGCTGATTTTCTGAAACAACCTTTTTCCTCTTCAGGCCTTTTATGTTATCTGCATTTCTTCGACTGCTGTCAGATATCCCTGTGGAGAAAGAGACAAAAGCTGAGGTGGTACAATAACATCACCTTTTTCCAAGCCCTACCATATGGACAGAGTGAGCTTAAATCACCTACATTTAGCATCCATTGATTAGCATTCACTGATCAATTATCAAGTGAAATTACCATACATATTCATCACATTTCCTTTAGAACCACAGAGAACAAAATGAACACACGCCTTTATTCTATTATTGAACCATAAAGGCATACATGTATTTTTAATATATATTTAGTACCTCCTAATTATGCTACATTTTAATCCCCATTATCGCAAAAAATGGACTGTATGTAATATTAATTTATGTGATATGAATTGCACAAACTTTGGTGACCATCAGGAATTTACACTGCTAGGTTGAATCACCACTAATAATCTTGAAACTTACACACATTGAAAAAACTGCAGTTCTCTGCTGAGGAGCATGTATAGCAGTTTAATTATAGTGCCACACGATTACATAACTGATATATAATATTTATGGCTGCTGTACAACAAAATCCTGTACTAAATGACTAAGTGCTGTAAAGGGACCTTCCACTTCTACTTTCTGAAGAACAACAACAAGAATTTAAAGGCTTTACTTTGTGTTGGTTTTATCAGTATCATTGAACAGTAAGCTGGATGTGGATATATTCAATAATTTAGACACCTCTCACTCTGTTTATTTGCTGTGACTAACACCAGAGGCCCATGCATCATTACACAAGTAAAGAATAATTTTCCCTCTCTTGTTTTTCAGATACATGCGACCTGTGGAGGCTTGGCTGATCGGAAAATGTCAAACCAGATCAGAGTAAAGAGAAACTGGATGTATACGCTTTCAACACTGCATTCCTACAACGATGCAGGCCTATTTTAAAAGTGCATCGGCACGGCAGTGTCGTGCTGGCCCTGCAATAGTGACTCAGCCATGTGTTTTTGAGGACATGTTGCGTAAGATTAGCAGTGCTCTGTCACTGTTTCCTGGCTCGTGTAGGTATTTCCCAAGATGAGGTCATGGTTCTTTCAAGGCCTCTGGCATAATTAGATTTGAGGAATAAATAAAGTTAAGCCATTCCCCACACAAACGCGCAGCCAATGAGCCTTTAAAGCAGTTCACAGCAAATAAAACACACTCTCTAAATAAACCCTGTGATTTTTCTAACATAACCTGTTCTAAAAATTGCTTCACAAAAACATTTGTATCAGCTGCTGCTGAAAGACATGGAAGGAGGATTACTTCTTCCTGTTCACTGCTAGGACGAGGCTGCAAAAGAGATTCCATTACTTCACCAAAATAATAAAAACCACGTCATTAACAAACAACATGTGTCAGCGTCTAACTTCAGCTGTAACTTCTGAGAAACTTAAACCATCTTTGGATTAAAAATAGTCTTTAGCCAATCAACACATTCTGCCTGAGCCTTTATTTTCCTCCCCTCTCACTGATGTTGAATGCCATTATTTTTCCATGACTGTATGAACAAGTGATTTTTGAGATCAAATAAAGACCACTGCTCTGTGATCCAGTGGAAAGCAGGCTTGCCAGAATAGACTTCTTTTAAAAATACGAGATTAGCCTTTGACTGGCAGCCAGGCACATTAAGCAGCTGCTGTTCTTGGGAAGGAGATGGAGATGTTCGTATTTGTACTCTATTTAGGATCTCCACCAGGCTCATTTAGAGCGGATGATTCAATCAAGGCTTGTATGTCCTGCAAATAACATGGGCGTTTTAAAAAAAGGAGAGGGCTGCTGTGATGAGGTGGGTTCAGCCGGTTAATTCTCAGGACCTGCTTAAACAAACATCATGAAACCTCCCTGGGCTCACTGAATGTAGTACATGACAGGCCACATAACAAAAGAAAATCATGTTGGCATGTTTAATAATGGTACTGCTACTACAATGTACAGGAGGGTATTTACAGCCATACAAAAGGTGGAGAAAGAGTTGCAGTTGCAGTACATTTAACTGCCTCATTAATGTTTCTAGCCAAATTGTCTTAAAGTGTGACTTTAAAATTATTATGACGTCACTGCTGGTATTTTCAGGCCAAACTAAAAAACAAACTTTGTGCAACTGCTAGTCTAAAACCCTGCTATTATAAAATATTCTCTCCGGAATGTAGCAGCCATATAAACCTTTTATGTTGCAAATAGTCTTACTGAAGCAGAAACATTAAGTATGATGACTGTTGCAAAACCCAGATGCTGCACAGCCGCTGGATCTGCTAATGTAGTAACTCGTCGCCAAATATTATTATTAACTTCGAGTACATGAAATATAGCGCCCCTTAAAGGCCATAAGAAATAAATAGATCATGAAACTTAGATAAACCAGTACTGCACTGACAAAAACACTATACTGTAGAATGTTTTTTTGCACCACTAACAAAAAACACTTCAAATTTCAGACCAGTGCTTTTTGTGAAAAATCAGGTGATTAAGAAAACAAACCATCTCTTACCTTTCTGTGAGCCTTTGGGGTCTTTAAGCTCCTTCTGTGCCTCTTCAATTTTATCTGTAACACAAGAACAGAAGCCATTTTCAGCAGAGAGAACAGCACCGTGCAGACGCACATACACTCTCACTCCACAGTGAAGGCAACACAGAAATAAACTGATGATACTGGAGATGTTTCCCACTCGGCTGTAGCAGAACAAAGCTCTTTCAAATGACAAACAGATATTCTTCCATAGCTGAGAGAGCGCACTGTTCCATCACAGAAACTGCTGCAATCAAGCTTGTGTGCATACACAATAACACAACCATACGAACATACCAAAATACAGAACAGTATAATGTACGGGCTGAGTTTGCAAATGAGTCAATACTTCGTTCCTGTTATCACAGTGAGCACCATCCCACTGATCAACCTGTATATTCAAATGCTGTTTGCTCTCCTCAGGGAGGACTCGGGCCTCCCAGAGGAGAGCAGGTGAAGAGCCCGTCTCTCCATGAACCATATGGATGTGTGGGAGGTGAGATAGTGCTGACTGTTACTGTACTCAATATTAATTATATACACTGGCTGGATGTGGTGTGAATGGGTTATACACAGTGAAACAGCAGCAGAAAAGAATAGGAGGTAAACCCTCTGTTTTCCTGCAGGGTCACTACCACATGCTGGTGAATGGAGGAAACACTGTGATTGTGTAATTACAGTACATCCACAGGGCTCATTATGTTGAATGACCCCTGGAGATGTAATTGTGAATGTATTAATTTAAACTTTAAAACAGCAGGTTTATAAAAATCTGGGTGAAAATCAGTTTAAATTTTAGTTTGTTTTTCTTAATACTTTGAAGAAACCCGGTGCAACATCACAACAGAACAGTTTGGCAACTTTAGTTTTACAGATCTGCCATCGCCAAATGATTTCGTGAACATTTTCTGAAGAAAACCATGTAGTCTGGTAACTCCAGGAAAATTTGAGACAAAGTGCTGAAAGATATTGCTCCAGAAAAACATAACCAACAATTTTATTTACTGTGAACTACAATCATCAGGAAACAGAAACGTACCGCACGAGTATTCTGTGTGAAATGAGTTAAACCAATTTGCTTATTTAAATCAGTAAAAAGATAAATAATGTGCCTTCTGCACATGTAAGCACAAGTGCACATGCAGTATGCTCACTAAGCACAGAGGAAAATTACTGGAGAAGCCGAGCACTACTGCAGTATGTTTCTGGCTCCATGACTATGGAGACTAGAGGGAGAAATAAACCTGCTGTGGCTTCTGTGCCCTGCACATGACATTAGACTGAGAGACAAGTCCTCCAGGACCAGTGGTAAAAATGTTGTCTTACACTGCACAAATGTTAATGGAGGGTGAAAGAGGATGTTCTTCTGTGGTTCCTAAAAATCACAGTGCGATGCCGGGAATACTCAGAGTGGGGGGTGGCCACAGAAGAGGTCAGAAGATTATGTCATCAACCCTCTGTTACTATAGTCACACCCTTCTCCATCTCTCCCTATATACCAGGCACACACCACAGATTACATAATGCACCCCCACCCCTGTGCTGCCATGGAGGAAAAACAAAGGCACCCTGCCAGCAGAAACACAGCAACCAAAGCACATGAGGCGAGGGTAGAGGGTTTGTGTGCATGTGTTTGACAGAAAGGGCAGAGAGATGCATGTTTTTGTCTCTGGTCTGTGTCTATATAAATGACCGTGGCAACATCGTCGCCATACGATAAAGGAATCAGGTAGACAACGTTTTCCTGGCAACAACACTGACACACTTTTCTGCAAACAGGTTGGATCCCGACGCTTCCCTCACAGTCATGGCTCAGCCTCATGGCCTGCTCAGTGCAGTAAATGGCTGCTACTGCAAACCAAGCTGAGACAATAAATGCTTGCTTTAGTGGTTAAAATCTCTGGAGGTAGATTTTTGCTAGCATATGGGTCTTTGTTTGCACAGCTTGATCCGTGTCTTGTTTTAGACCACACTGGCATACCAAGGCATAAGTGATTACTGCCCTTATCTTATTAGTGGCTGCGTATGGTAGGAGACTAAACAAACCACAAGCAGGACCCCTCATGCATGATGCCCACGAAGTCAAGCTCCAAAACACGGAAAAGAACAGGAAACACCAGCCCAAACGAGAGGAAAGGGAGAAGGTGGTGTTACCCTCAAAAAGGACCAAAATATTCCACCCACACCAGGGAATGTTTACAGGGCCGTTCATCATTCCCTCATTATGGCCGAGGTGGTCGGGGTGATGGCTGCCTTTCACTACAGGGCTTTGAGACATTTATCGTACCATCTGAAGACTGTGTAATCTGTCCTGTAACCACGGGAAAACACTAAGAGGAACAAATGTTGCCAGTGATGAAAACCAGAGCACACTGTGGAACACGACCACAAAACGAGAGAGTAGGGTGAGAAAACGGATCAAGTCATAACTAAACTGTTTACAAGTGTGGTCTTAAAACAGAAAAATTCTCAATGTTTAAACTCCTACTTAGGAACGCTATACGGCAAAACCTGCAGACAGGCTGCACTGTAATTCTGCCAGAGTTACAGCTCCAACCAATAAAGGAGACAAAAACATAACCGAGGCTCTGAAAAGGACTCCGTGCTTCTCATCTAAGTAAAAAGTAATAATTTAGTGAAGCATCACTCGACACTCTCTGCTAACGTACTGACTCGTATCTTAACAGATTGATCTACATCTGAAAACCGTTTAACAGCATAGTTAAAAACACTACTTCTTTAATCTGCTTTCCTTGTTTATCACCTGACCCCCCATAGCCCGCCTAATACACCCCTGTATGACAGCAGTACTTCAGACATGGTTCTTTGAGCAGACAAACCAACAGGACGGCAGTGTAATGCAGATGGAGGCTCGCCCTAAGTCTCAAGGTGGTCAACTTGTGGTCTCTGATCTTTGCAACATGATATCTAATGATATGCCAGGAACAGGCTGGGAGAGGCCAGAGTGGGTGGGTGCATGTCAGTTAGGCAAGTGGAGTCATTCTCCTCCCTGGTTGCTGTCATGACAACCACACATGTTTAATGCAACCCCCTCCCTGCATCTTCCAGCCCTCTGCTCTCTCTGCGCCGTCTACGATGAGTGTGAAATGTGATTACTTGTGCCCTGAGGGCCAACGCGATGTCACCGGACAGAAAATGTGTGTGCTTTTGAATTCCAGTACCCACCTGATGCGAGTTCACAAACACCAGCTATGGCCAGCGGGTTACTCAATGGGAGGGAAAGCCCTTCCGAGCTTCATTAAGGTGTCTGACAGACATCAGTGAAGATGTGGCAGTAATAGCTGCAGATCCAAACACATGCTAACGAGCTACAGCGCCAACCCGCCTCTGGAAATAGATCTAATAAACCAGACTTCCGTGTGGAACTAGACCCCTGCCTGTATAATGAATAACAGTACAGCACTACTGCGAAGCAACACAACTGCGCCCCCTGGCACTGGATTCCCCCCGAGAGCCCTCTCTGCCTGCTGGCCGACAAATACCCACCAGGCTCGGCACACCCTCCTCCTCTCACTGCCACTTTGTAACACATTCATATTTCACTCAACAGCCTGCCCTGCTGGGCCTCACCATGCCAAATTGTGGCCATCAGCCTCCTAGTGGCAGCCTTTCATGGCAGCCATATGCACAGCACTCGTGTGCTTCAGATGGCCTGGCTTCAGCTTTTCCTGCGACCATCAAAGTGTAAACACAGGACTGGTTGTTTTACAAAAACAGCATCTGTGAGGGCTGAGGTGTCATCAGCGTGCATGACGCTGTGCCAGTGTACCGGCAACAAGCCTGAACAATGCCAGTGGACCACGGCGTGTAGGCAGATGATGCACGAGCTGCAGCGAGTGACCAGCGTCACTTCACCGCATCATAGTTAACGTGTGAGGACAAATCTTATTCTAAGTGTCCCTGTTAGTGTGGAGTAAGCTCCTGCTCTGTTTTGATATAACAGACACAACAAAGAGAGAAAGCAAGACTTGACGAGGTGGATTGATTTTGATGTCTGAATGACAGCGGGTCTGGGGACGAGTGCACTGCCAGCTGGATGTGGACTGTACAGTCTAGCAAACTATGGGGAGGAGAGGAGAAAGTAGGAAAGGAGACGAGAGGACAACGAGAAATCGAGGATGACGAGAAGACTGGGACGAGAGAGGAGGATGCCACGGTAGATGATGAGATAGGAGCTGGCAGCTGCCCCCTTCTTCCCTGTCACTGTGCGGGAGGGAGATGGAGATTATGTAACTTGAGCATCTCCACCAGCCTGCTGTACCCACCCGGCTGTGTGCAAACACACACCATCATCGAACACACCCTCACATGGCTGATCCATTCTTAGAGAACTTAATAACAAGGATATTTTCCAACCCAACAAAAACAGTCGATGCAGATGGAAACTTACACAAACTAAATGAATCTGAAAACCATCAAGTCATTTTTTAAGCAAGAATGATAAAAATCTGCTGGTTTGAGCCACGAAAACCTGACGATCTGCTTTAGTTTGTCTTATATAACAGTAAGTTGACTATTGTGGAGTTCAGATAAAACAAGCAATCTGAAGACAATGCTCTGGGAACTTGTGAAAGCATTTTTTTTAAACCTAACAATCTTTGGCAGTAATAAAAATACATTTTCAAGTTGCCAAACTGAAAACCACTTTAGAGCTGAAATGTTTAGTCGGTTAAAATCAGTCCGCTGAAAGTTTTCCTGAAACAGTTTTGACACAATTTGCCAGATTTGTTCCATTCTCTAAAGTGTGAGGACTCTGCTGAAATTTGTCTTATTTAATAGTTAATTCAATGGTCTCGGGTGTCAAACCGTTCCTCAAAACAAACAAGCAGCTGAAGATAAAACATCAAGGCTCTGGGAAATTGTGACAGGCATTTTTTTTTAAACACCATCTCTTACCAGAGGAGGTCAAACAGATAGGAAAGAATGCGGTTTGTAGCCAAGTCCTGAGCCGTTGTTCACACTGATAAACACCCAATTTATTCTTTCATGTAATTACAGATTTGTTTAACAGATGT